CCTTCAGTACAAAACACCTCCCTCCCCAAGTTTCAAACCTCACGTCTGATGCCATGTGCACACCCCTGCACTCATGTCAACAGAACTGTTACCCTCTTGCTCCGCACTTGCGATTGTGAACATACTGGAATCCACACCACGCAGGTGTGCACTTCAGTCTTGCTCAGGGCTCTTAACTCGCATGTGTAATCAGTTTTCACTGATCTCTGCTGCTGGTTTTTAGACTGCCAGGTGACACAGTGGGGTTACACTATTACGAGGACTGTCTCCCACACATCAGACTGTACCTGGAGCATCTCCTGCCCATTCTCGGACTGTTGCTAATAAAATAAGTTGTTGCAATGCATCTTTCTTCTCTACATGTTTGGCATTAAACTATTATAGGTACTGTTTAGTGTGCACAGGAAGGTGCGAGACTGAGGTTCCATTGTGAGGGCAAAAAGTGCCGTCAAGTCGCAGCCAACTGACGGCAGCCCCATAGAGTCACCCAGAGGTGCTCATTGCCTGCCTCTGTTTCGTGACCCCGGACATCCTGGCTGGTCTCCCATCCAATTACTAACCGTGGCCGACCCTGCTTAGCTCCAGAGATCTGACGACATCGGGCTGTTCGGGGCCATCCAGGTCCCTGTGAAGCTACCCTGAGCATACTCCTTAAATATTTATTTATTTAATCACATGTTTATTCCGCCTTTCCCCACAAGCGGGCTGAGGGTGGGTTACAACCCATTAAAACAGTTAAAATACAATACAGAAGTCCAATTTAAAACACAACGGATCTTATGCCGGCAATTTATTTAATGAATAAATAATACAACCCAGAGCAATGCGTCAAAAGGGTAGCAAATGCCCACTTCAACCGACCTAAGTACCATGAACACAGTGCAATGATCGCTCCGTCACATCCTTTAATCCAAGAACACAACCTGAGCATTTGGGAAGGGAAGGATGGAAGAAAAACTAGTTTTATTGCTCAACTCGTTTCATTCAGGCTGACGCAGAAGTTCCCAGTGGACTGCACCCAGAGACTTTTTAAAATGTAAATATTTAAATGAGATACTTTGAGAAGAGTAACATGTTTGGGATTGCACAGGGGGAGTCGGGTTAGTATGCTACAGGAAAACAAAAGCGAACCTTGTGGCACAGAGGCTAATGTACACTTCCGTGAATTTTATTGTTGCAATAGATGTGGGTTCAAAGATTCCCCCTCAAGACTCAGGAGCATTCAAGAGAAACAGACAAGATAACACTATGGAGGTAACTGCAATGTCGACACAGTAAAAAGAACTCTGCATGCCCAGACTTGGCGTTTATCCCACTAAACTAAATGGAACTCAAGTTCAAACACTGCAGGCTCCATGAAGAAGTCTGCGGAAGAGCCCCAAGTCTACTGACTCCAGAGGTCAACGGGAAGTAGAGACTTGTATGAACTATTTTCACTTGGGCTTTTACTCAATTTGGACAACTGTAGTGCGCTCCTTAGGGTCTGAACTAGGCTTCAGTGTTACACCACCAACCAAAACAAGATTCTGTGTTTTCCGAATCTGAGTATCTGATTCTAAAGAAAGACAAAGAACCCTCCAAGGACCTCTACAAAAATAACAGGACCGTTTCCCACACTCCAGTCCATACCTGGATCGTCTCCTGCTCATTCCTGGACTGTTGCTAACACGGTAGGCTGTTGGGACACACCTTTCTTCTCTACGCCGTTCAGGTGTGTGGGGCCTTCTCCGGGGTGATCTTGAGCGAGATCTGAATAAGAGGAGGGGGGACAGTTTTAGTTGTCTTTGGGATGGAACGAACTTGCATTTTTTTTAGTACTTGATTTCAGAGAGTACTTGTGCCATTTAAATGTGTGTCCCAATACACCATAAACAATTTGTCTCCCTTAACAAGAAAAAAAAAATACTTTTTTCGAGATATTGTCAGTTTCCTGTGGGTTTTGTTTTTGATCATATACATACACATTCAAGTTCCCAATTCCCTTGATTTCAAAGCAACGTGCATTTTAGATTCCAATGATTCTCTCATATATTAATAGTGGTTTAGAAGATAATCCACATGCTGATGGAACTGGCAAGTTCATGCACATGCAAATCTTTTAGGGAATAAAGCCAGGAAACCGGGTCCTGCAAATCAGTTCTGCTTAATGGTGGCGTTTTCTCTTGCAGAAGGAAGCTTCCCTGTCTCGAGGGTATTCAGCCTCTTGAGAAAGCGGAAGGTTCCTTGGATCAGTGCCACTGATGTTGGAACCCATCTTTCAAAGAGGCCCAATTTTATAAGTTATATAGTACAACACAAAGCTGACATATACAGGCGGGGAGAGACAGTGAAGAGGAGGAGGAGAAGGAAAGGGAAGAAGAATAATCTTAGCTAAGGTACTGGAAAGTTTCGAGTCCCTCAGGGAACTGACAACACCCACATTTCTGTGCAGCAGGCTGGAGAAAGTGACCATTTTAGCTTGCCCTTTCAACCTGTTAAAATTGACTAGAAGCCCATGAAAAGAATTCTTCAGCCTACAGAGAGACTGTAAGTGAGAACCTGTACCCTATTAAAGATCAGAGAGTATAAGTCTATTCAAAAAACAAACACATACCCTAGGTCTCACTCTAATTGCCTGCCCATTTTGGCTGCACTTTCAATTTTACCCCTTGTTAGGTTCACTGCCACCAGATGGTTCACACCAGATCAAGGTGGTATTTTCCCTACTTCTCGTGTTTATGGCTAGAGGTCGTTTCTCACATTTCCTTTAAAAGACAAATCTGGGTGGGTGACCTTGGGCCAGTCAAATGCTCTCAGCCTAACCCACCTCACAGGGTTGTTGTGAGGATGAAATGGAAGCGAGGAGAATGATGCAAGTCGCCATGGGGAAAGGGGTGGGGAATAAATAAAGCTGGAGCTGCGATCCCATCGAGACTTTAGAGCTTGAGGTACACACGCCCTGATCTCAGAGAAAACCATCCAAGCTCTGGAGCCAGCCCCCAAAACCTTTTATCTTGCTCTCTCTTTTATGTTGCCACAGGAGGTGGTGGCAGCTACAAGCATGGACGGCTTCAAGGGGGAGTTGGATAAGCATATGGAGCAGAGGTCCATCAGCATGGATGGCTTCAAAAGGGAATTAAAGATAGGCATATGGAGCAGAGGTCCATCAGTGGCTATTAGCGACAAGGTATAGATAGGGGCTCTGGGGCAAGTGATGCTCTGTCTTCTTGGTGCTTGGGGGGGGGGTCAACAGTGGGAACTCTCAGTCTGGGGCAAGGGATGCTCTGTATTCTTGGGCAACAGTGGGAGGGCTTCTAGTGTCCTGGCCCCACTGCTGGACCTCCTGATGGCACCTGGTATTTTTGGCCACTGTGTGACAGAGTGTTGGACTAGATGGGCCACTGGTCATGTTCTTAACACAGGGATTTGTACTTGTTTCGATATTATGTCACTGTGACCCTTTAGACACAGGGGCAATTCCAAAGCATATGGCAGCATCCTTCAAAAGTGACACAAATAGTGGCCTCCTTTCTCCTGAGAGAAAGGAGTCTTGAGAGCAGTGCTTTTCTGCAAACTGTTGTGCATATTATTTCTGCCAACAACACACACCTAGACTACCCTCGGGAAAAACTGGGCTATCCTGAAATTGGGGGCGGGACTCTGTTAAATACAAAAACGCTGTTGGCACACTGCGCCGCAGGGAAAACTGCAGCTTCCCTTAGAAACCTGATCTTTCCCAGAAGGATGAAGGGGAAAAATGATAATAACAGAATAAACAAACAGTGGATAGAAGTTGGAGGTCAGTCAGACACCTTGGCGTTTTACCGGGATCTCCCTCAAATGAGCTCCGGCAGTCATATCTTTGCGCTGTCGAGGCTGCCTGACCACTCCCGCGTGCTGCTGCGGCTCCCATTGATGGGCTGCTCAGCCACGGCTCCGTGCTCAATGTCCCTGTGGATTCTGGGAGTCTGTGATACGGAGGCACACACTTCACATTCAGAACAAAATGGGCTTTACTTTGGGGGGGGAGTTAACCAGGGTTTCCAAAAAAAAGCTTGTGTCCCTCAACCACAGCTCTTAAGGGAAGCATGCGTAACACCACTTCTGCTTACGAGAGAGGCCCAGACGTTCCGGAGGAGAACAGGCTAAAATATTTATGAGTATTATGCATATATTTTTATAGAGCCGCTTCGGCTGTGTTTTCTTTTTTTCCTGCTGTCTTAAAAGGGGGAGGGGCTGCTGATGTTAGTTTTCCGGTGATAAAAGGCTTATTTTTTTTTTCCTTCTTAGCACAATCAAGCTTGTGGGATATCGCAGCAGCTGGCCGCATGAGATATTCATAAGGCCTCTCTGACTCCATTAAGTGAAGTTAATACCAACCGTCTTGTTCAACCAGGCTCTTGTTAAAAGTCCCATTATGCTGAAAGACTTGGTGCGTCATGCTACCTCTTTAGGAGCTGGAGCTGCGCGAGGAGATGTGGCCTCCAGGGGAAGAGAAGGGATTCTGCCGAACACTCTTTTTGTGCCAACCAAATGTGGGGAAACCGTTTCGAGCCCGGCTCCGCTGATAATTTGGAACAGACGCCATCGGGTGCACTAAGTTTACCTGTGCCAATCAGCTCATCTTAAGAAACTAATCCTTTAATGATGCCTCTCTCTGCTAATTACTACACACAGTTCGTTAGCTGGGAAAACAGAGTAGGTGGCTTAGTAAGTAATCTATTATAGAAGTACATAAAGGAAAAAAAACCAATTAATGTGAAATGAAGTTTCTGGCTCAACAGAAAAGCAAACTTGCAGCCTGCAATTCTCTCTCACCTCCCTCCCATACTTATTATGAAGCAGCCCAAATTCATGTAATCCATAGTACAATTCTCTCAAGGTGGCCTTAATGTAATAGGGCTTTCTGAACGGGTGGATTTAAGTTGCAAGATTTTGCAGCAAAATCATTAAATCACTCACTGTGTAATGACTTCTTTTGGCAACTGCGTCTCTGATCCCTTTCTACTTGCACCACCGTTCCTCCCCCCCTCCCCAAATTACTCCACAGATAATAAAGAGAATGCATGCACCCCAATTAATTCGGTCCTTATTTGTATTTACTGATACTTGACTGTGAAATTTGAAACCTCTCAAGTAGAACATCACACATTATGCCCTCCATGTCTGATGCTTCCTATCTAGTAAATCACTGCACTGTGGAAAGTCTCTTAGGGGAAATATAAGAAATCAGGTGCTGAAAGTAGAACTAGAGAGGCCTGATTTCCTCCACCACCCCTCCCCGACTACACACAGTTAAACGGCTCCTCTAATTCCAGCACAAGCAAATAAAGGGAGGACGAGTGCAGGAAGATGGTGAAGGAAATGGGCAGGAGACAGCTGCTATTTTTTTGGTCATGGATACAGTAATCAGACTACAGAACATGTCTCTATAATGGCAAATTTCAATGTGCCCTAAAGCTCAGGATGGCAATGAGAAATCAGATTTGCAAACCAGACACCATTTCACTATGAAGCCAACATATCTTCTCTATGCGAAGATGGCAATAGGCTCCCATTTTCCAGAACTCTTTCTACAAGGCCCAGATACCATGACTGCCAGGATTCAGGATGGATAAAAAGAAATACTTCTTTACACAGAGAGTGATAAAATGTGGAACTGGTTGCCAGAGGATGTAGTGATGGCCACAGCTGTAAAGGGGGATTAGATAGATTCATGGAGGGTTAGTCTATCAATGGTTACTAGTCATGGGGACTGTGGGGAACCTCCACCTTCAGAGGCACTAAACGTCTGAATCCCAGAGCCAGGAGGCGACATCAGGGGAAGGTCTTGGCCTCTATGCCGTTGTTGGCCATCCAGAGGAACTGGCTGGCCACTGTGCGAGACAGGATGCTGGACTAGACAGGCCACTGGTCTGATCCAGCAGGGCTCTCCTTATGTTCTTATTCTTGGATTTCCAGGTAAAGCCTGTCCAAAGGGTTTAATGATACCCGCAGTCTAAGGCAGTGTACTCTACCAAAAGTGCTCCAAATCTATTCATGTTAATAGATACAATTAAAAAGAAATTGACCCCAGAGGGATAACTTGGGGCCCACGTATTAGCAAAGCCCCAGTGTGATTAACAGAAACACGCCTGGTTCTGCCAAGTGCTTGTCAGGGAATTCTCAAGGGATTCCCTTTGTTCCAGTAGCCTTGCATTCCCACACTGCTGAGAGTATCTGACTGATCTGAAATGCCAGGTAACACTTTAAGGTAAGCTCCTACAGTGTAGCATTTATCACCACCATGCTTTCAATTAGGCTTACCAAGTGCCGGCGGGGGATCTGCGTGTCTTGGCAGGATCCCTGCCGCGGGGACGGCGACACGCATTGCACCCGCGTAGCGTCACTTCCTGGCGACGGCGGGCGCAACGCGTGTCGCCGTCCCCGCAGCAGGGATCCTGCCAAGACACGCAGATCCCCCGCCGACATTTGGGAAGCCTACTTTCGATGAATTTGCTGCCTTTTCAAACATCTATTAAGCTTTCTGAAGGCAAGCAAGTCTTAACAGTTGCTTAAACAAAATCACAGAAGAGTTCTCAATTTTTCTCCTTTGCCTCCTCATATTTTGGCCTCCACCAAGTCACCAGCTGCTCATTAACTTAGCTGTCGTGAAACACAGAAGCCACAATCAAGAATCAGCTCTGCCTAAAGTCAGCATTTACGTGGTGCTGGGCTTCCTGGAATAGTAATACATTTTTTGGGCTAAACATTAGGAAGGACTTCCTGACAGAGCGTTCCTCAGTGGAATAGGCTTCCTTGGAAGGAGGTGGGCTCTCCCTTCTTGGGAGGTTTTTAAGCAGAGGCTAGAAGGCCAACTGACAGCAATGCTGATTCTATGACTCGCTATGGATTTAGGCAGATCCTGAGAGGGAGGGCAGGAAGAGACAAACCAGAGCTCGTATCTCATGTCCCTTTCTTATACGCCCAGGGTAATGCCAATCACCGCTTTGGGGTCAGGAAGGCATTCTCCTCCAGGCCAGACTGGCCCCAGGGATGCTGGAGATTTTTTGCCTTCTTCTGGGCATAGAGCAGAGGTCACTTCAGGAGGGGGCAGAGCTGTGAATTTCCTGCATTGTGACTAGATGACCCCTGGGATCCCTTCCAGGTCTATGTTTCTCCGTTTCCACCTTCAGAAATTTACCTCAGAGATAAGTTGTGGTGTTTGGCAGACTGGGCACTTAACAGAACCGTAACGCACGGGCTAATCAGGAACAGGGAAGAGCTGTTGAGACAGACACGGCCTTGAACAACTCGACGCCAAGTTTGCCTTGGCATCCGTGTCTCGAGCTGTGAAGTTGAGGATATTTCCACATGGTATTTTGGAAGCATTTTGACAGCATCTCCACAGAATCAAAGATGTATGTTTGGCACAGACTTAATGTTTAATATTATACTCTAAGTCTGAGAGGGGGGAAAAAACTGTACTACTATAGTGCTGATGCTATCTCCCGAGGGCTGCCTAGGCAGCATTTAATCGTAAAATGGCATGCTCTGCTTATGACACAGTGAAAGGGAGATACTATGGAGAGCTACAGCCAGGTTTAGCAAAACAAAGGTGCGTATTTGCTTCAAACATTACTATTTTATCAGGTACATTCTGTGGGTCTCCGATGCAAACCTGCTAAATGGTTAAAAAAAAAAGGGGGGGAAGGAGAACACAGAAGAGCTTTTAAGAATAGTTTCAGTTCGACGCTGCACTCACCTGGAATGCCGGACAGTTCTGTATGCAGTGGGAAGTGAGTGCTTGGCTTTCGAATGTGATCGAGACCTGGACTTGGAGGACGAATGATACTTGGAAGGGGGCGACCGGGATCTCGACCGCGATCTTTTCTTGTGCTTCTTTTTCTTCTTCTCCTTTTCTTCCTCTCTGGGAAGGTCTCTGCTTTTGCTCGAAGACCTTTCTGATATGTTCATTTCCAAGGTTGGTAACGTCCTGACGCTGGTCAACAGAGCACATGGCATGCTACTGACGGTCTGGAAGTTAAATTGTCAGGTGTTACCACTGCATTCATGGCTATGGAGTGTTTAAATGCTACCCGGGAAAGTTCAGGTCAAAATCTCAGTAGCCCTCACGTGCACTCACTGGATAGACTTTGACAAGGGAACAGCAGCCTGTTTCCCATGTGTAAAATGGGAATGTTAATGCCCTATTCTCTTTCTAGGTAGGTAGGTAGAAAATTTATTGTATATGGCCACAGGCCTTCACAATCTGAAATCATTTATTATAAAATGTACTTAGATATAACCATAAAAATCAATAAAATATGGCAATATAATATATACTTAGATATAACCATAAAAATCAATAAAATTTGGCAATATAATACATACTATCTAAGATTTAGTCAACTTTAAAATCTAATAATTTCTAACAAACTAACTAGCAGCAACTGTATCAGTTGATGCCTTCCTAGTTGCTACATTTGTTCTAATTTTCCTGGCAGCAAGAGTGAAAAGTGCTGCTGGAAATGAAAGAATCTGTATCTGACAACATAAAGATTAATTTATCAGAGTCCGAAAGAGGATGGAGACCGGACAATATAGTGGCAAGAAATCCTTCCCTTGGGGTTCTGAGTATAAGGGACAATTTAAAACGTATTCTCTACCTAGCACTTTTTTTTTTTTTGGCCTTTCCTCCAAGGAGCTCAGGGTAGCATACACGGTCTTCTTACTCATTACAAACCAGTGCATTAAGTTAGGCTGAGAGAAAGTGGTTGTTCCTGGGTCACCCGGTGAGCTTCACTGTGGAATGGGGATTTGAACCCAGCTCTTGACACTCTAGTCACTGCAGTTCACTGACTCTCCTCCTCAGACTGCTTAGAGAACTGATAGTATGGAGTAAAGGTAAAGGTTTCCCTTGCTTGAAAGCCAGTCAAGTCCGACTCTAGGGTTGCGGTGCTCATCTCCGTTTCAAAGCCGAAGAGCCAGCGCTGTCTGAAGACGTTTCCGTGGTCATGTGGCCGGCATGACTAAACACCAAGGCGCACGGAACGCTGTTAACTTCCCACCAAAGTGGTCCCTATTTGTCTACTTGCAATTTCTTGCTTTCGAACTGCTAGGTTGGCAGGAGCTGGAACTAGAGACGGGAGCTCACTCCATCTTGCGGCACACTGGGGTCTCGAGCTGCTGAACTACTGACCTTCCACAGCCTGCAGTTCAGCATCTTAACCACTTGAGCCACCGCAGCTCCAGAGTACACAATTTTAAATGCATAAAAGTGACTGGATGACGGAGAAGGCTTTCCTGTTGTGGCTGATTTATGGCAACCCCTTCGGGTTTTCAAAGCAAGAGACCACCAAAGGTGGTTTTGCCCTTGCCTGCCTCTGCATAATGACCCTGGACTTCCATGGTGGTCTCCTATCCAAGTACTAACCAGGGCCAGCCCTGCATAGCTTCCGAGATGTGACGAGATTGGGCTAATCTGGGCTACCCGGATCAGGGAATAAAAGTGATTAATAGAGTTCATATGGAAAGACAGCTACTTTGACTCATGAAGTTGCCATGGCTAGTCTTGCCAGAAGTGGTAATGTGACCCCTACATCCAAATTCCCAAGTAAAACAAAAGGCTGAAGGCAAGCCTTCATAGCCAGAGAGCACTTGGGCAGAAGTTAAGACACTAGATCATGGGGAAGCTATATGTTCTGCTCAATACCACTTATACGGCAGTTAAAGGACCACATTTGATGCTGCTGTTATTATTGACAGTACTAGTATAACATCATTGCACAGTTTGCCAGTTACCCCTGACATCCAGAACTCTGCAGCTACTATATTCAAGTTGCTTCAAAACTCTGGTACAAGGATGGGAAAATCGTGAACAGATTTCCCCCCCCTGTACTCTCGCCTGCTGGGCTGATAGAAAGTTTTTATCTATGCATCCATTAACAGTCAGAATCATCACTGCCATTTTTCTGAGAGACGTGCAACAGCTTCTTAAACAGAAAAATCAACAAGATGTACTTTCTAATAAAATGATTTGCCCTTGGAAGCCATCTGTAAGTCTAGAGAGCACGGCTAACTTTCAGCTCTAAGCAACAGTGGATCCTAGGAAAAAGGAATCCTCTTCTCTGCTTTACATGCTGGTTGTGATGAGACGCTTGCCCACATCCAACAAGACCGTGGATTGCTTTTACCATGTTCACAAGCAGTGCTTAAATATTCACTAGCAATTCCATCATGCTTGGTTTTTATCTTCAGGAGTACACATCCATTTTTAAAAGACTTTTAAAGAAAGAAAGCTTTTGGAGTTTCCCAAATTGGATCTGACAACCCGCCTTATCCACCACTGATGGCCGGGGAGGAACTATTAACCCTAGTACAGATGCATTAAATGGAACTTGGTGTAAAATTTGGTTTGGGGAGGGAAAACGTTAGTGATGCTGATGAAAATGTTAATGATAAATGTTTGCCCTGTTCTACCACTTTGCTGAAGATCACCATGGTGCCACTGATATCGTCCTGTTGAAAAGACGATCTCTCTATATGCTGGCGTTTCGTGTACAGAGAATGCAACGAGATTAGACAGACATGGAACGACTTTGATTAAGGCTACCACAAAAATCAACAAAGTGGAAAAAGCTGTGTTGACATAAACAGCAGTCATACACATTTGGTATGCGAGAGGCCTGCTTCCCCTAAACAAGTGATTCATTCTAAGAATAAAAAAATTTAAAGGGGGGGAGTCAGTTCATCTGAAACTAAATGACTACTCTAAGGGCCATTTCACACAGTATTTGGCAGCCTGTTTCGATTTCCCACAGAGTTTACATTCAGCAGGGAGCTGCGGCCAATCAGGGCTTCTTGCCAAGTCTATATGATAAAATGTGTTTTTGTCCCCTTCAAATTTTTAGCAGGACACTTAAAAATGTAACTGCGAAGTGGCGGTCAATTAAACATAAGCATGTGTCAAAAAAATTGGTGCTTTGTACCTTGGTGCGGTCAAGCACCACATATGTGCCCTCTCATTTGGAATTAATTTAAATCTGCTGGTATCTCATGCCGGCGGAGGAATCCAAAGCATCCTGCTATATAACCTCCACTCCACCCGTTTTTATATTACCCATAGAACAGAATGACCCAAATAAAGAACTATTGGAAGGAATTCTGTTATAAAATTATCTGTCCTGTTTTGTCCCCTCTTTCTTGTCATGGCATGACAACACCTGAATAATGAGAAACTCATTTTATGTATTTCTCTCACAGAGCTAATTGACAATGGCCTTTTATTGCCATACATATAAACCCCCCCCCCCAGTAGCTGCCCTGTGGCCATTTCGTTTCAAGGGCCATAAAGACTTAACAGTATTACAATACGAATTAAATGTAACTGCTCTCATCTCAGAAGCGCCTTTCAAATGAAATCGGCAGAAGAGGCAAAGATGCATATTAAGAATGGAGGATTAGAATGAAAGAACTAAAGAATTAGAATTAAAAGATTCAAATGGGAGAAAAAACACGATGGAAAGGCAAGCGGGATTGAGAGATGCCAGCAAGAAAACGTAACAGAATTGAGACAGCAGCTTGAGTACAGAATAATTCTGCCAAATACAGCTATTGTTTCAGCAGAAGAATTTGAATTTTAAGTGCTTAATTTTACTTTACATACTATTTTAATTACGTACTCAATATTTACTTCTTCCTAAAGTGCTGAATGTTCTTTTTTCTAATGTATTTTAATTACTGTTATATTATTTTGTCTAAAAGCCTATCTACTATGTAGACTTCCTTGAATAAATGAAGTAAGTTGAATGAATACTTTAGATACATACTGACACCACTACTACTTGCAGGCAGTGTTCCCTCTAAGCTGAGGGAGTGTGAGCTAGCTCACAGTTTTTTAGTCTCCGGCTCACCCATTTTTGTCTTAGCTCAGGAAGGAGGGCTCCAGAACAAACGAATTGATGCAGTAGCCAAATGGCTTGCTCACAACTTTAATGCCAGTAGCTCACAAAGTAGAATTTTTGCTCACAAGACTCCACACCTTAGAGGGAACATTGCTTGCAGGCTGTAGATCTATCTGGCCTTCAGGCTAGCAGAATGCCAACTGATATGGGGGCAGCCAACACAATGTATGAGTTTTCCCTGTGGCACCAAGACTAGCACCTTACTCAGTGAGCAAAGTTTGAGTTCAGTGGCACCTTTAAGACCAACAAAGTTTAATTTTGGGTATAAGCTTTTGTGTACATGCACCTATTTGAAGAAGTGTGCATACAGGGTCTTAGAGGTGGCACTGGACTCAAACTTTGTTCTACTGCTTCAGTCCAACACGTCTACCCACCTGAATCTCACTCAATGAAATCTCTGGAAATCCCCCAGAAGCCAGTAATACTTTACTAGGCAGGGCTGGAGGGGCTTGATGGGGATTGTTCTATGTTGGGACATGTTTTGATGCCCCCTCCCCACATACTTTGGGAGGAAAACAGAACTTGGAATTGATATGGGAAGAGGATGACTTTGGAAAAGTTTGAGGAATATGAGATACTTAAATGAGGATATCTAGGAACAACTGGGAAACAGAGACGTCTAAAATATAGCCTGAAACAGCAATCAGCAGTGGTTAAGACAATTTTTGCTCCATTACACGCTTTTTCTTTTTGTAATCAATGACTGCAAAGGCAAATAAAATTAAAAATTTTCCTTTCCGGGGAAAAAAAAAATTATGGTGATGTGTCTTGCAACCACATAAAATCCTAGCATGGTCCATACTGACAAAGGTACAAAGAAAAAGAGAGGAGAAGTATGACTGGATCTGAATGACTCTAAGAAGGCGAGCTTCTCATTAAGGTCTGAGAGCTTTGCCTGTGCCAGCAGAGTAATTGGAACAACCTGCGAGAGGAACAAGATGCCTATCGAGCCCATTTCATCACAAGTACCTCTGTGTTGACCCCTGACCTGGATGGCCCAGGAGAGCTCAATCTCATTAGATCTCAGAAGCTAAGCAGTGTCTGCCCTGATTACCACTTGGATGGGAGATC